GTTTGCTATCATTCTTATTGCTGCCGAGGATATTGGTTCTCCACGTTTCTCTCTTGTTGAATTTTCAGCACCAAATGCAATCGTCTAGTTTGAGGCTGCTCTTTTTTCTCAGCGAGCAGTCTATGTTGGTGAGACGGGTTTTGATCCCCAGTCGACTTGCCGGCCCCAGTTCTTGGTAAAAGTGTAATCAACGAATGACATTTTACGGCTGGATTTCAACTATTATCTCGGTGTTTTCCTACAGTTCGATGGCGATTGGATTTTGGGGTTGCTTTTTGTGCACATATATAGAAATCCAGGGGAGTTTTCTGCCGAATGATATTTTATTCGGCGATGGTTTTTTTGTTGGCCCTCGACCATATGTTTTCTACGGTTATTCAGAGGTGCTCAGCTGTTGTTCTATTGTTTTGCTTCGCTTCTTGGTCAAATTTTTTCTTAATCCAGGGGAGTTTTCTGCCGAATGATATTTTATTCGGTGATGATTTTTCTATTGATCCTCGACCATATTTTTCTACGGTCATTCAAAGGTCCTCGACCATATGTTTTCCTCGTCATTGAATTCTTTGAGGTCGCCTTGAAAGCTTTGCGGAGAAACACCAAACCTTTCACCGAATAGCAAATCTTCAAGAAAAACAAATATCGGCCATCGGATCATGCTTGACAAAGTGGGGCAAAGAGTCCCTTTTAAGTCGATGGAAATCTCCAAATCCAAACAGAATGTCCCCATTTACAACGAAACTAAGAAGTTGCCGAAGAAGCGATGAATCAATAAGTGATCAAAAGCTTTGAAATCTCCAAAGCTCTGCAGCTCACAGATTTTTGAATCGAACAAAGAAAAAAAAATCTAACTAAGAAGTGAAGAAGCAAAGCAAAACAATAGAACAACGACCGAGCACCTTTGAATGACTGTAGAAAACATATGGTCGAGGACCAACAGAAAAACCATCCCCGAATAAAATATCATTTGGCAGAAAACTCCCCTGGATTAAGAAAAAATCTAACCAAGAAGCAAAGCAAAACAATAGAACAACGGCCGAACACCTCTGAATGACCGTAGAAAACATATGGTCGAGGACCAACAGAAAAACCAGCCAAATAAAATATCATTCGGCAAAAAACTCCCTTAGATTAAGAAAAATTCTGACTAAGAAGTGAAGCAAAATAATAGAACAATGACCGAGCACCTCTAAATGACCGTAGAAAACATATGGTCAAGGACAAACAAAAAAAAACCATTGCCGAATAAAATATCATTTGGCTGAAAACTCCCCTGGATTTCTATATATGTGCGCAGAAAGCAACCCCAAAATCCAATCGCCATCGAATTGTAGGAAAACACCAAGATAATTGTTGAAATCTAGCCTTGAAATGTCATTTGCTGATTACACTTCTACCAAGAACTAGGGCTGGCAAGTCAGCTGAGGATCAAAAACCATCTCGCCAACATGGACTGCTTGCCAAGAAAGAATAGCAGCCTCAAACTAGACCATTATGTTCGGTGCTGAAAATTCAACAAGAGAGCAACGTGGATAACCAATATCCTCGGTAGCAATAAGAATGACAGCAAACGCCACGCTAAAAACACTTTTTCAAGGCGAGACTAAAAAAAATTTAAACCGCTGATTATATCACCTGTTATTTAAACCGCCGATTATATCACCTGTTGTTGCCCCTTTATTTTCTTAAGTATCAGCCCATAAAGCCGAATGGTTAAGAAAATAATTTATTCATAAAGCTTCATGGCAAGTTGTTAAGATCGACATTAATACCGCCGAACATGTTGATACCACTGAACCAGACCCAAAAATGAATTCATGCTCGGAAATGAATTTAGACCACTGATTATAAGATACTTGGTGTTATGAGAGTCGGCGAAGACTAGCTCTCAGTTGTCCAACTTTGTTAAAACCAAGGCTTGAAATGATGTTGTCCAACTTGAAATGATTTGTTGGCCATGCATATCTCTATCACATTCTTTTCTGACTTGAAATGATTACCAACCACCTTGGCTAGCCTTCTAATGTGACTATGCCATGCTATTAAAAATAAAAAAAAAAGAGGTCCCATGATTTTACCACAATAACCTGTGCCGAGCACCTATTCATGCTCGCCGAACTCGACAAAAAGCTGGCATATAGATATATATTCTTTTAGCAAATAATAAAAGTGGATGAACCATATTAGGAGGGTCTTGTCTTGAATGATCAATGAATGATTTGATGCCACATGGGATGTTCCTCGGCCCCCTTTATTTTCTTAAGCATCGACTGAGTAGCCGAATGGTTAAGAAAATAAATTCTTATTCATTTTTTTATTTTATTTTTTATTTTTTCTAATGAAAGAAAATAAAAAGACCAAATCATGATCAGAGGAAGGCAATAATGCTTTATTCCAAGCCGAGATCTTTTTATATCAAAATTCTCAATTTGATTTCGCTTTAGGCTAAATAAAGAATCATTTCCAAATACTTTTGACTTGGCGAAATATTTTTAATTCTCAATCGCCAAATGCGTTGAACAATTATTAAACCCCCCAGGCATAATAATTTTGCCAATTTCGGCTTTTAACTCGAACAACTTAGCAGAATGGGATTTCTCTATATCGACTTTATCGCCAATAATCATATCGATTGGCATGATTTTTCCGGCTAGGCCTATGTCTCGACCTTGTTCGTCATTAGAGCACTCCTCTGACGAATTATTTTCTAAGTCAATTTTTGGCTCAGAAACTTGAACTTTTTTCTTCTAGGCCAACCGAACTTTCAATCTCGACCGAAAAAATGGGTGGCCTAGGTTTTTCTTCGGCCTTCTTGACAATTTTCCTAGGCCGAATTTTGATTGTGGCTGGAGTAGAAAATTGCTCCCATCTTCTAGACAACTTCTCAAGAAGTTTTGTTTTCTTCTTGTAGCAATTCTTTACTTGGCGCCAAATCTCGTCCAATGGAACCTATTTGAGATCTTGATCTATCATGTGAACTTTGTAGTTTTAGCACTGAGTCCCACTAGGCATGCCAAAATGTTGACCCTAAAAACTACCAAGCATACGTGGCACGCAGCCCGAGTAATTAATAAGCTAACTACGTCTTTAGGTTGTGTGCGGGGCATGCCAACTCGTCGATCGAGTTCGGCCGGAGAGTAAAATATGTTGATGTGGCATTGGGCGCACTGTTGACTTTTTGATCTTGCGATTGCGGCCGAAGAAGGAACACGTCTCGGCCTTCAGGTTCTAAAGCCTGAAGACAAGGCTACTAGTTCTGCGAAGTTCAATATCAAATTCGGCTTTCAATATGCCGAATGTAGTAACCTGTAACATCTCAGTTCACCGAGAAGGCTAATGAGATGACCTCTGCCCATAAGAATTTGAAAATCCTTCTCAACAGAGACTTAGATAGATAACCGGTCGGCCTTGACGCAGTGCTGCTTATCCAAACTTAAGGTGTTCTGTGGTCGGCTGATTCTACAGCAACAATGTTGTTTATCCAAACTGAAGATGTCACCAGTTGCCTTCACAATGCTGTTTATCCAAAATAAAGATGTGTTAGCAGAAAAAGAAAATAAAAATCTCGAGGTTGTTGAGAGGTTTCGCGTAGAGTGAGAGTTTATGTAGTGCAGTTTGTGTGTTGAATTCGAGGGGCTCTTTCTGTTGCCACTGCGGTTTGTATTTATAAGAACAAATTTTCTGTTTTGCACGGCCTGGATAATAAGCAAAGCAATCCTGAAGACTCTGTAATGGAATATTCTAAGAAAAGTCATGACCACAATGCATATCTGGCTGACAAATGGGGACTCTGAACGCTAATCCGCTCCAACCAGGAGACTCCTTCTCCACATTATTCGTCTAAATGCACTCAGCGACTTAATTGCAAATGGCAAATTAATTGAATTACGATCTCTGACAACCAATTGCAAAGTGTAATCATTATCCCACCGTCACTTCATTATCTTTATGCCAAATGGATACGAATGGCATATCCACGTGCTAATCATCCAATATTAATCACATCCTTGTGGTATTTTTTCCATGTGGCTCTGCATGCAAGCTAAATATGCAACTCTTGCAACTAATTAAATACCATTGGGATAAAACTCTAATGATGCACGGCATTTCACATAACCTCCTCGCCATGGAGCTTTACGCCACAACTATGTACGCTTTAAGGATATTTTCAAGATAATTACTATGATAAAAAAAAAAAAAAATAGTAATGTCAAGAAAAATCTCTGATCATCTGACGGTTGGGAGCTATGCCCATTCAACAGCCTTAATTGCATGGGCCGATGATGTAATTTTGAGTCCAAACAGTAGTGCTCTATGACGTTATGCTTTTCACTGGCATGAGAGCTTCTCATGTTGATAACGCGTTGTGAAATTGAAGGTATGTGGAATAAAATAAATAATACACAATATTTATGAGGTTCAACAAGTGTGCCTACGTCCTTAGGGTAACAGTAGTACTTTATTTCATTATCCAAAATAATAGGAGTACAAAATAACTTTGATTATTTTCTCTCTTCTCTCTAGCCTGCCTCACTGGTTTTTTCTTTTGCATCTCTCTTCATTCTTTCCTTTCTTTCTATCTCTTCTTTCTTTTCTCTTTTCCCTTCCTTTCTTCCGCATTTTTCTCACCTCACTTCTTTCTTTTATTCCTCAATATTTTATAGACAAAAATCAAGACCTAACAAACCCATCATATGGATTATTTTACTACCTTATGAGAATCAAAGTCATCAAGTAAAGTAAACTTTAATCATCCCTCGAGGTCATTTTCAATAAGCATTCACACTGGATTTTTAGTGGATATTTACTCCGCGTTTATAACATATACATATTTGTTACATATTACACCCATACTCTATTTTACAAACTATATATGGGACAAAGTGACAATCAAGTTTTGTTTGGGGGCAAATGAATAAAGAAAGATAGGAGCGTGTGTGTTTGGGCCTATTGGCTGGCGGCTTTAATGGCTTTCCGAATATGCCAAAGGCCATCCCTTTCGAGTCCCGGGTTTTACAATTCACACCCTCTCAGACTGTGTCTCTATAAATAGCCCTCATAAACTATGACGACTCCGCCGAATCAAAAACATCCCCACCCACCTGAGTGTTTTCGTCGACCCTCTCATCTCTCCTCACCGAACCCCCCCCCTCTCACCCGTAAGCCCTCTCTCTCTCTCTCTCTCTCTCTCTCTCTCTCTCTCTCTACGTGTTTGTATTTGCATGTCGTATTGGATCTTTGGTATTTGAGATTTGATCTTATTAATGGGTGCTTGTTAATTGGTAATTGTTCTTTTCAATTTGGGTTTTGTTTTTGGGGTTAAAAAATTTTGGGGTTTTGCTTTTGAGATGAATAATGATTGAAAACTAAACACAGGGTAATGAAAAGTTGAAAGCCGCAAGGGTTCAAGCACCTTTTTTTTTTTTCCTTAGATCAAAGTTCGTTTCTTTTTCTTTTTAATATCATTTGTCTTGGGTTTTTAGAATATAATTTCTAATCATCAAGGTGTATGTTTTGAACTGAGAATTAGATTCTAGAACAGCCTGAGCTGCAGTTTGGAAATGATATGATTTGATTTGTGTTCTGGGTCGAATTTGGTGAAAAAATTTCGGTTTCGAAATTTTATGTTATGGATGTTTTAAAATGGTTAATGATGGCAAGTGGGCGCCTACCACAATGGTGGAGAGAAGTGTTGCACTTGCACCACGGCATAACATCTATCTATCCATTGACAAAAAATGGTCACTGATGGCATCTGGTTGAGAAGCAAAACCGTATATTTGCGTTTAGTTTTATTTGTAGTTGCTTATAAACTTTATTTTTTGGTGGCTTAATTGTAAATTTCACTTTTGTGTCTGTCTCCTTGCTCCTTTTGTTAACTAGATGTTGAAATAATATCACTTGCAGCAAATCATAAAGTTGGCGAATTAAAATTTGTTTCATGAGTTCCTATGAGTGCATTATGCATGTGTTATGATCACGAAGTTGACGGTTTCTTTATATCATACGAGCTCTCGTGAGAAGGGTTCCAATTTTCAGTGCTTGTTTTGAATGGTGGATGCATACTTTTCGTACAACTTCTAGTTTTAGAATTAATATAGTTGTTTGAGATTTAAAGCAACAACCTATGTATGCTAGTTTACCAAAACGGGGGCTCGAGTGAAGAGCATAGCTCCATGAGCTTGCTCCTTCTCATAGTGCCCCGGACATTGATTGCCTTGCTGTCTTTCACCGGGGATGGTTTGGTTTCATCCTTTTATGGTTTTTCAGTGCAAACAGGTAATTCTGTTGACTGCAAGTATCACCCATCTTGCTCAGTCGGGGTTGTTGGAGTGACGGTCTGAAATTCAAGAGCAGATAGTGCTGTATAATGCTAATCTGTAACGCATCCAAGCTATGGGTAGTGGTATAGGTGTTGAGGGCTGCGGCTGATTAGGTGTTTGAATGATTTAATTTGTTTCATCTTGTATATATGCATTTACTTGGTTGTTAGTCGATATTGTGTGAATTCCTTCATGTTATAATTTGGTGCTTAAATGCCGTATCCCTCATTTGATATTGTTGTTAACGCAATTTTACTTGTCATAATTGTTAATGATGATGTTTATGTTGATTCACCAGATTCTTTTCTGTGCTTTATCTTTTACTAATCCTCTTCTCCGTTGGTGTATGAATTCAGGGCTAAGCATGTCAGCCATGGCAACCGTTCAAGTTCCCTCCCAATGCATGTTCAGACATGCGCCCCAGAAGCAGTTCACCAGTTCAATTGTGAAGCTATCTTCTCCCCTTGGATCTGTGAAGAATATCTCCAAGTCCTTTGGCTTGAAAGCATCCTCAAACTTCCGGGCATCAATGGAGGTATACAAGGTGAAGCTGATTGGGCCAGATGGTGTGGAGAATGAGTTTGAGGCGGCGGATGATTGCTACATCTTAGATGCAGCTGAGAATGCTGGAGTTGAGCTGCCATATTCCTGCAGGGCTGGGGCATGCTCTACCTGTGCAGGGAAGCTGGCATCCGGTTCAGTAGATCAGTCCGATGGTTCATTCCTCGACGACAACCAAATGAAGGAGGGTTATGTGCTGACTTGTATATCGTACCCAACTTCGGACCTTGTGATTCACACTCACAAGGAGAGTGAGCTGTATTAGGTGGTTTGCCGTCGGCATAAGTAGAATTATGAAAGAACGTGTTATTGTCAAGTCTCTCAATCATAGACCTTCCTTTTGTTCTGTTTGTTGTGGAATCGTGTATCGCCGTTAACGTTAACGGTTGCTGTTTTATTGGTTTCTGTCTGTGGCTCTTGAGTTTTAGACACATTTGGAGATGCATCAATTTAATGGTGTTATGGCATCATCAATTTAAAACATGAACAAAAGCTTTCACAGAGATAGTCACCTATTGAATTGAGGTCCCAATTATAAATGGAACAGGATCCTATCCGGATCCTCGTTGTGAGGATACTAGGAATTGGTTTATTTCATCCGTTCATTAGTCATCCTGTAGTTAAAAATCATTTTGAATTTTTTATTTAAAATTGAACATAAACAGTACTTAATGAAAGTTGGCCGCACAAAGTACGACGAACGGCTAAGGATCCTCACAAAGAAGATTGGAGAGGATCCTCATCCCAATTAAATCACCTTTAAGATCACTCGATTAATTGACCATTATTCCCACATACAACACCACCATTCATTAACGAAAATTATTTTTGTAATAGTTAGTTGTTAGGAGAGAGGGATTTAGTGGAGATTGAATCCAAATTAGAGCGCATAGACATGATTGTTTTTTACAAGTAAAGCTTTCTGTAAGTAAAGCACTGTATGCAGAATTCTTCATTAATTATGTGAAAATTTCAAAAATAAATGTAAGAGTTATTTTCTATTCTGAAACTAATTAGTTATGTGACTAAATTATTTGATATTCATTAGTTAAAAAAGAAAAGAAAATTTGAATCTAAGAAGAGTACCAAACATGAAAGTTCGAATTAAGACTTTTAGTAAACTTGTAAACCGATCAAATTCGTTAATCCTTATGAAAATATATTTATTAATCTTTAATACTAAACTTGGATGGGATTCAAATACCGAAGTAAAAAGCCCCTTACTAAATTTCAGGCTTGTTTGGAAGTGTTTTAAAATGATTAAAATCGTTTTTGGAAAAATTAATTTTAGGTTATAAAAGCATTTAAAGTGCTTTTTAGAATTGCTTCTTGCAGGAAGCAACAAAAATGTGCTTCTTGCAGAAAGCACTTATAGTGCATTTTTCAGGATCTACTTAAATTTTTACTAATAATCGGTTTCAAAAACATTTTTACTAAAATAGTTTCCTTTTTTATTTTTTATTTTAAATACTTCTAAACGAGTCATTCATACCTATATAATTGAACTTAGGAAAACCAATTACTAGAGCTTTGTAGGTGTTTAGAACTTGAAGCAAAAGCCCACTGGGCTTGGAACTGTAAATTTCAAATTAGATTTTGGTGGGTGCACCAGGCCGATTCTGGGTTGTAATGCCCAAGCAAGAAATGTGGGTTAAGCCATTGTACGGGGCAATGCCAACAAACAGAAAAAAAGACGTAGAAAATAGAAAATAGAAGAACTAAGGGTTTTTTTTTTTCTTTTCTCTTGTCAAACAATAGATTTTGTTATATTAGATGTCAGATTAACCATTGAAGGAATTTAAACCCAGGCCGTCATGCAAGTACAACGTATCTCCACTATAGTAAAGGCCACTTGTGAATAACTAAGGTTGAGTTTAAAAAAAAAAAACACAATATTGTTGGCATCAGCAATTTTCGAATGGTCAAAACTCAACTCACCAATTTTTATTGACAAAATTGTTAGATAATAAGTTAGCAAAATTTCAGGACGAGCTTCACCTATCCAGGCCCTTATGTGGCTCTACCACGTGGAAAAGTGTAAGACTGTGGTAATTTTTTTTTCCTTTTAAACAAACAATATCATCTATAATAAGAAAATGAGAAAGTAGGTTAAGCTTTGCAATAGGCTAGCCATAATAATGTGGTTCAAATTCACCTTTGGCGATAATCAAACCTAAGACCTCTTACTTATAAATGAAGAGGAATATTACTAGACCATAGTACTAAGAGAAATACCACTTATTTTGATTTTTTTTTTTTTTTTAAGAATAAACGATATTCTACATTAACTTATTTTGATCTTCCTTTCTTTTTTTGTTCTTTTTTTTTTATTATAATAAGCGATATTCTACATTAATTTATATTGAGAGGATAATGAGAATTTAAGTTCATAATAGAATAAGTTAAAGAAGGCCTTAATCACCAAGATAATTCACCACTACTGTGGAGCGTAAAATAATCCCAAAAATTCTAGAGGCCACACGTGGACTTTTATTCTAAGAAGACAAGATTGCCCTCAATAAATAGGCAGGCTTCTCAGATGCTCTCATGCGCAACTCACACCCCTGGAGGTCTCAGCAGCTAAATAGCTCACCTGCCCTGGGCAAAGAATTAAAGATAAGGATTAATTACCCAAATCCTATCTTTAATACATTCCCAATTGAATATTGACTCCAATCAAGTAAGTAATCCTAATTTAAATCAATTAGGGATAATTACTCCGTTGTCTCAAGATATTATTTCCTATTAAATATCTTGGGAATATTTAGAAAATATATCTCCATTAAACACTATATGGCCAGCCCTAGCTCTATAAATACCCCATATTTTACCAAATTTTCAAAGCTTTGGCAACCCTAAAAAAGCCTTAAACACTTTACTCTCTCACTGAAACTAACTTAGGCATCAGAGATCTGTTGACCTAACCCCCCTTCCACCTCGTGGGTGCGTAAGGCTTAGGTCTCTGATCAAAGATGCTGATTGTTTTGCAGGTGCATTTTCGTCAAGACTGAAGATGGGGGAAATTTGAGTTGACACATTGGTGCTTTCATTGAGAGCTGATTCAAAATACTCGAAAAAGCCTCTTGCATTTGTTTCTTGAATTTTCTATTACGTTGAATTTCTCACACATCGTAACAATTAATTTTTCTTAAAAAAAGTTTCTTGATCAATCCTTGGAGAAAGGATACAATGGTAGGAAATTCAGAAACTACAACGAACGAAACGTCGTATGTGCAAGGATTTGGACCGGAGAGTGGAGACGAGGACATAGCCCCACAACAGGATCCTCAAGGCTCAGCAGCCATTGTAAGGCCACCAAGCCATGGCACCACTGCGGAGCCGCACCACCACTATTGCCGTGACCCAGCAGCCACTGTACAGCCACCAGGCCATGACACCATTTCCATTGCCGCTGCCCTTGCAGCACCGCACCCAACCAAACCCTCGGCATAAGGCCCAGGTCCATTTCCAAGCCTATGGGCAAGAAGCCCGGCCCATTGCGACATCAAGCCTTACTACGCAGTAGGCCCAAACCCAAGCCCAAAACGCGGCAGCTCAGTGGGCCTAAGCTCAAGCCACCCAACCAGCAAGCCAAGATGTGGCAGTCCAGCGGCCAGGAGGGCCCACGACCATACATGCCCAAAACGAGTAGGAGTTGGCCCAACACACCCCGTGACCCGCTCTGATGACCCAACCCATAGCCCAATCCATTCCAAGGCTACCTCCAGCGATCCAAATTCTGACCACAGGTTCTATGATAAATTCAGGGTTACTTGCCCCTAACTTTCCTACAGGAACGCCCGCTTTGGGCTCAAGTTTTGTACCTGCAATCCACTATACATCCACCACCCATGGAGACGCCCATTTTTCAAACTCTTTCAATCCAAATGGCGAGCACCACCTACCACAGCAGGTCGCCAATTTAACGAACGCTTTGGCGCTGCAGACCACCTTGGTGAACCAACTCCTCGAGCTCATCGAGATGTAGCGCGCCCCAAATGAGGTGTCTCGAAGCAGGACAAAGCCAGAAGAATGTAACTCATTCCAGCAACGTCAAGGCAAATAGCCGCTCAGCCTGCCACAAACCATGCGTTCGGGTAGTGTGCACTCTTGTTTAGGCCCTCAGGGAAACGTTTTTTCCTGCTTAAATGCATATATAATCGTTTATTCCAGACTCGGCTCATGAGTCAGTATGCACTCAAGGCTGGGTCCACACTCCGACGAGCGCTCAGGACATTCCAGGCGAAGCATCCACACGAGGCTAAGTCCACAAGGAGATCCTCTCATGAGGCAACAAAGTAGGCAATCGCATGATGCCCAGAGGAGAGCACGAGAGCAGTCCAGCTCGAGTTCCACTGGCAGCCTCTGCTAAGTGCGACGGCGAACAGCATAACATGAACCACGTGCACCACAACTGTAGCATAGATGAACGGGACATGCCGAAGAGTGACAATAAGCGGCAGGTCAACACTGGGGGCAGTTGGAGGCTCTTCTGCCCCCACCAGGAGCAAATCCAAGAGGAAGTACAAAAGCTTGTAGCAGAGCAACTGCGCGGATTCCAGTGCATTGACACTACCGACGATGTCATTCATAAATACGTGGCCAACCTGAGCAGGTCACCCTTTATAGATAAGATCGAGGAGACAAAGCCACCACGAAAGTTCATCCCACAACATTTCACCTTATTCAAGGGATATGAAGATCTGGATAGGCACTTGATACACTATTGAAGTGCCATAACACTCTACGCCAACGATGACGCATTCGTGTGCAAGATCTTTGCCACGACGTTCTAGGGCGAGGCGCAAGACTGGTTCCACACCCTGTCGCCACATTCAATCTGGAACTTCAGCGAACTTTCCTTAGTTTTTACTAAGGAATATTCGTCCTACTACTCGATTAAAAAGAAGTCAGACTACCTCTTCAACATAAAGAAGGACCCGAATGAGTCACTCTGCACATATGTCAAGAGATTTAAGGTGGAGAAGGCGAAGATTGTCGAATGCGATGATAGCATCACATGCTCAGCATTCCGAAAAGGGGGCTCCCAGCAGATCACCCACTTTTCGAAGAATTGATTATGGGCAAGAACTTGTCCCTGGCAAATTCTTATGCTTTGGTAGAAAAACACTCCCTCTGGGACGAAGAAAAATGCTCCCAAAAGCCGCCTGAGCAGTCGTGCAGAGGCACGGAACTGACTCAGAAAAAGACGAACGATAAACCGCTCAACAACAAAATCGAGCCAGGAGACAAACGCAAGAACCAGTCCCCAACAAAGGGAGTCACATCGCCCAAGACATACACCAAGTTCTCGATCCCAATCAACCAGATCCTTCACAATCTCAAAGATAAATCGTGGTTCAACCTGCCGCAACCTATGAAGGGGAACACCTTCAAGAAGGACC